GCGAGGCGGGGCGCACCGCCCCTCGCGCCCCCTTCCCCCGGCGCTGCTGCTGCTGCTGCTTGGGGCCCCGATCCTGCCCGAGCCCCGGGGAGGGATCCTGGCCTAGGCTCGGCGGTGAGCTTTGGGGGGAGTTTTACAGAGCCCCGTGCAGCCGGACCGGGACTCCGGGAGGAGCTTGCAGGCACCAGTCTCAGTGCCAGCAGCGTGGTGGGGCTGCCGTCCCTCCTGGGTATTCATAGAATCATAGAATAATAGGACTGGAAGGGACCTCGAGAGGTCATCGAGTCCCGCCCCCCGCCCTCAAGGCAGGACCAAGCTCCGTCTACACCATCCCTGACAGATGTCTATCCAACCTGTTCTTAAATATCTCCAGAGAGGGAGATTCCACCACCTCCCTTGGCAATTTAGTCCAATATTTGACCACCCTGACAGTTAGGAATTTTTTCCTAATGTCCAATCTAAACCTCCCCTGCTGCACTTTAAGCCCATTACTCCTTGTCCTGTCCTCAGAAACCAAGAGGAACAAATTTTCACCTTCCTCCTTGTGACACCCTTTTAGATATTTGAAAACCACTATCATGTCCCCCCTTAATCTAGTATGTTGGACGGTAGAAAAAGGAAGCTAGTGAATGATTTGCCTGGCAGGCAAAATTCTTTCCAGCGCTGGAGTTCTTGTTGCTCCATTTCTGCTCTGCATTGTGAGTGCAAAGGGTGGTCATTCACATTGTCTCTCTAAGTTGTGGGCCTGCCTATTACAAAGAAATAGGGCTGGAAGGGACTTGGGAGGTCATGTAGGATTCTCTCTCATTCTGAAACATCCCTAAGTATTTTACTGAGGAAGGATGAACCAGCAAGCAGGGCGCTAGTCATAAGCCCTGCGCTGCCCCTGGCTTGTTGTGTGCCCTTTGGGCAAGTGATTGAATCTCTCTGTGCCTCAGTTTCCCATCGGTACAGTGGGGACGCGACATGGGTGTTGTGAGGAAATAGACCCTGAGTTGCTCAAGCATTATGGTATCCAAACACGGACAGGCAATGTGCGTAGCTAGCAAATGCAGAAAGAATATCCACTAGTTACTCTCTTTGCTGTGTTTCTCAAACGTGTGTTACTGCAATCGCAGTTAGTTACACCTGCAGTAGGGCCTCGGAGTTTCCAACACCAGAGTTATGAACTGGCCTGTCAGCCATACTCCTCATCTGAAATCAGATGTACACAGTCCGGCAGCAGCAGCGGTGCCCCCTCCCTCTCCAAAAACAAGCACAGTGCTGTGTTAAATGTAAGCTATTAAAGTTTTAAAAACAATTTGACGAGGTAGTTTTGTTTCTGTGCTTGTTGCGTTGACATTCAAATGTTTAAAAGTTGCATTTTATTTCTGCAGTTGCAAAGCTGTGTTAAGTCCATGTTCAGTTGCACACTTTTGGAAGAACACCTGTAATGTTCTGTCTGGGGTTAGGAACGTTTCGGAGTTGCAAACTCCATTCCGGAGGTGTACTATACCTGAAGACAGCCTGACTGAAGTGACTATGCTTTTAAATGTAGTGCCTCAGTTTCCCCTTCTTTAAATGTACAGATCTCAAAGCAGTTTTTGTTTGTAAAGTATGTTTCAGATGGCCAGGCTCTGGGTAAGAAGGAAAAGACGTTTGATAGTCTGGGTATATAAATTGCCTTTGCCTGGGGCAGTGCCTGCCTCCTCACCCCACACTGGCTCTGCTTCAGCCCTTTTGTGTGCTGCAGACAATGCTATTCAGGTCCTTTAGTCCTCACCTTGTCCGTTGAGACGACTGTACTATAAGGAGTCTGTTGGTGTGGGTCCTGGAGGTGGCTTGGGGTGTTAAGGTCACTTACCCATTATGACGTATGGATGTTACATTGCGGTTCTCTGGCTAATTGTGTAGTCGATACAATTTGTATTGACTGCACGATTAGTCGATAGGATCGCTCTGCTGAGTTCGTGCTGGGTCCGGGAGCCACCCGTGCTGTGGCTCTGTATTTTAAATGTAGTAAGATCCCCTGGTTCTTTCTACATTTAAAATGCAGAGGCGCAGCGTCCCAGAACAGTGCAAGCTGGGACTGCTCAGTCCTGGCTTGTGCTGAGTCAAACAGCTCCTGTTCGTGGTGGCCAGCCCTGTTCAAGGTGGAAGCCTCCCCTCGCTGGCTCCTGTCCTCTCCCCTTGCTGCCTCTTACAGAGGCTAATCTTATAGAGGCAGCAAGGTGGGGGAGGAAGCGAGTCTTTGATGCTCCACATGACTACCTGATACACTTACGCTTATCGGGTAGTCGACTGCTCTCTAACATCCCTATTACGATCTGGGCTGAAATTCACTCAACCTAGAGGCTTCTTACTGGTTTTGCTTTGGTGACTTGTGCTTTCTCCCAGTGGCATTTATGATCAGGCTTCTAATGGGCTTGTTTTCATCATTGCAGGCCTTTGACAATGTGGAGGAAGATGTGGAGGCAGAGGAGGAGAATCAGGGTGTCTCCAAGAAAGGCAAACCCCTGGGAAGGAAAAGGGCATCAGCCCCGGAGGGAGTTGTGAAGCCGGTGAAGCTCAGCCGGGCTGATCTGTACAAGCCGCCCACTAATGAGGAGCTGAACCAGCTGAAGGAGACAGAGAACCTCTTCCATTCCAGCCTTCTCCGCCTTCAGGTCAGGTGAAGCCAGGGAGTCAAATAGGATGCAGCTAGTGCTGCATTTGACTTGGTAGCCTTATTCTTTTCAGCCGGCAGGGTGTGCTAGGTAGAGATTAAACGACTAGTCAACTCTCTGACTAGAGAGAGAGGCAGCAAAGCGGGAGCCGGCTTAAAAGCCAGTTCTCCCCAGCACCGTCTCTGTAGGGGGCAGGGGGAACTGGCACCCCTTCTGCCTTTGAAATGTAGCGAGGGTAGGATTCTTGCTATATTTCAAAAGCAGACGCGCTGTGGGGAGCACGGGGCGAGTAGGGGCCTCAAGCAGTCCCCCCGCCGGCCTTGTGCTCCCTGCTTTTGAAATTTACAAGAGCCCTGCAGGCTCTTGTACATTTCAGAAGGGAAGTGCACAGGGAACACAGGGCCAATAGGGACTGCTTGAGTCCCGTGCTCCCCTCAGCGCTTCTGCCTTCGAAATATAGCACTGGGGCTCTTGCTACCTTTCAAAGGTGGAGGCGCCCTTATCGACTAACCAAAAAGCCAATGCAAATTCCATCGACTATTCGAATAGTTGATTCATCTAAATTTAACATCCCCAGTGCAGGGGCTTGGGGAGGCTTGTGCAGTTACTCAGGAGAGATTCCGGTGCTGCCCTGCTGATTAGCAGAGTGCCCACGCTGGTAGGTTTTGTTTCTACTGGTGGTGCATGTTCACACTTGCCTCAGTGCACATAAAAAATGATTCCACATATGAGTGGTTTAAAAAGAATCGATCCATGGACGGCAAAGATTAGAGGGAACGTTGACTGGTACAATTAGCAGCAGCACAGGGACCAGCATGGGCCAGCGGAGGATTCTGCTGGGAGAGAAATGCTTGTCATGCACTCCTATTACCCGTGCAGCCGGGTGCTGGAGAACCTCCTGGGTCTGCCTGAGCTTGGGGCTGGGAGTTCCCTGTCTGGGTCAGCCTGGGAATGCTGGTCGAAGGGCAGGTGATAAGTCAGCAGTGGTTTCCGTGGCTGAGGCTGCCCTGTGGGGCCTCCCTTCTCCCTGCAGATTGAGGAGCTGCTGAAGGAGGTGAAGCTGAAGGAGAAGAAGAAGCAGAGGATCGATGCCTTTCTCCACGAAATCAACACCCTCTTGAGTGCCGTCCCGGAGACCCCCGAAACCGATGTACGTCCGTGGGCGGCCATGGGGCTGTCTGATTATGAACACACGGCATGGGAAGACGCCACCTCCCACTGGCTTTGCCCTTAGTGTTTTCCGTGTCGTGCTTAGGACTGCCGAAGGGTGCAGCCGGCCCGGCCCCTGCGCGGCTGCTTCCCCTCCGGGGCCATGTGGCTGGGGTGCTTACATCTGCCATCCCCACCCGGTAGCCCAACGGGCCATGGAAATTACAGCTGGGGTGTGTAGATGGAGGTTACAGGAGATAGGGCTGGCAAAAATGGGGAGGGAGACCCCTGCTGGACCTGTTTCCAGCCACTGCGTTAAGGCCTTGTGGTACAGGGTCCCACGCTCCCCCCGTGGTGCCCTAAGCAGTATCTTGGGACGTGGCAGGATCCCAGCTTGCTTAGCGGAGTCCTACTAGCACAGTGGTCCCCAAACTTTTGAGGATCACTCCCCCTGCCCTGTCTGTGCCCGGCCGGGAGCCAGGCCATGGCGCAGTTGGGGAGCGGGACCGAGGCTGGGGGCAGGAGCACAGGGGGCTGGCAGCGTGCTGTGGCCAGGCCTGGCTCTGCTCTCGGCCTTACCGTCCAGCTGTGGCCCTGGGATGGGGACAGATCCGAGGCTGGGGGCTGTCATGGGGCTGGGAGTGGAGTCGTGCTGAGGCTGGGGATGGGGCCAGCACAAGACTAGGAGCTGGGGACGGGACTGGAGCAGGGGCGGGCTGGCTCAGGCCCCACCTCACCCGCTGGGGGAGGGGCGTGCCCCACACTTTGGGGACCTGTGCACCCTGCCTGGGTGAGCTCAGCTATTGCCGCGGGCTGGAGCGTGGGCAGTCCTTCACCCCTCCCCTTCCTCCCCAGCTCACCGACCAGTCGTGGCTGCCCAAGGGCGTGAAGGTCCCATTCCTCCAGGTGCCTTTCGGCGTGAAGGGCAAGTTCCGCTTCCTGCCGCCGGCCGCGGTGAAGGTGGTGGGGAGCTACCTGCTGGGCACGTGCATCAAGCCGGAGATCAATGTGGACGTGGCGGTGACGATGCCACGGGTGAGTCCGAGCACGCCAGGCTGGTGTGGTGCCACAGCTGAGCCTGTGACCTCCAGGGCGCCGTGGCTGAGGGCTTGTCACGGAGTGCAGGCACAGGGCAAAGCGGCACGGTGCATGCAGCCCCCAATTCCCTACCACGTGAGGCGTCAGTTTCAGGCCTTGTTTTGGACCGAAAGTAGTTGAAGGAGTTGGGTCTCCTCCTCTGTCCCGGCTCCTCCCGATCTCACCAAATCAAACATCCCTGGTGTTTGATTTCCAGTACGATTGAAGAAACGGCCTATCCCCTTCTGCCTGCATGGGGACTGGGCCTTACTACCACCGAGTTTGGCCGCCGCCTGGCTTCCTTGAGCTTGGCCTGGCCCTGAGCCTGCCTCGAGGAGCGGGAGAAACTTTCACACCGTTCGCTTGTGCTTGTAGGAGGTTATTGCCCAAGAACGCTGTGCAGCAGGGCTGCCTGTCCCGTTCTTCGGCGCACTCCTCAGAACCACCCTGGCTTCCCGCGAGTGTGACCTGCCTGGGCTGGCTGTCGGTGAGTCAGCAGAACAGCTGTGCTTGTCCCTGCTGGAGGTGCGCAGCCTGCTCACGCTTGCCAGGGTGGTGCTGTTAGAGCGGGAGCAGAGGGCCCTGCGTTCCACAACACTGTTTTGCTGGCTGTTACCTTCCCACCCCAGAAGTAGCTGCATGTCTCCGGCGGAGAGAGGGACGGGTGTGTTAGGCTGAACTGGAAGCTACAGGGACAATTCCTCTCTCCCCTTCTTGCTCAGGCAGTCCTCCAGGACAAGGACCACCTGAACCAGCGATACCACCGGAAGAGAGCCCTGTACCTGGCCCACATAGCTCAGCACCTCTCCAAGGAAAAGCTCTTTGGCAGCGTGAGATTCACATACATGAATAGCAACCACCTCAAGCCAATCCTGCTCCTGCGGCCTCAAGGTGCCATGTCTCATTGCCCATCCTTCTTCCTCTCCTCCGGCCTCCTCATCCCCAGGGCTCTTCTCACCAGGGCAGGGACGTTGCAGAGCTTGGCCAGCGGGGGGCGCCATCCCATCAAGCGATGCCAGGCCTGTGTGCATGCTGCAACCTCTCCCCCGCCTCCCAGGGTCTGACACTGGTACCTCCGTGCGGACCCACTCCCGGGGAGAAAACCGGCCCGGAGTCTCCATGTCTCGGAGTCGCTCTGCGAGCCGCGCTTGGGCTCTCGTGGAGCAGTGCGATCGACAGGAACTGGCAGTGCAGAGGCACGAGCAGGAGCCGGCGGCTCTGTGGGCTAAGGACTCTGGAAGTAGCCAGCCTAAGTGCCTGGGCAGAGCACCGGGGGGAGGGGAATGGGCCTTCTGTTGTCATCCTGGATCCGGGGAGGTAGGAGTCGGGGCTGCATTAGCGAACAGCACGGAGCCCAGTGAAACGCCACCGTGTGCACCCCAAACACACCCTTGTGGTCTCCCTTCTCTCGCTGCTTGTGAAGCACCCTCTGTGCCCAGGCCAGCTGGAGCCAGGCTCATTCTGCTCCTGCTGGGAACGCCAGGATGATGGGGAAAGGCCGGGGGTCTGGTGCCTCTGAGGAGAATGGGGTGGCTTCCCTCCCCCCGGATTTCCGCCCGTGTCTCCATCTGTAACCTCGCTCCCCTTTGGTGCTGGCAGGTAAAGACGAGAAGCTGGTGACCGTCCGGCTCTATGCCTGCCCCGTCCCCGGCTTTTTCAAGCCCAGCCGCCTGTATCCCAGCAAGAACAACGTCCGGACGGCCTGGTTCCTGGAGCAGGGCTCCCCCCAGGCAGGTAAGGCCTGGGCACGCAGAGCTATGTTGTGGCTGACCGGCCCGGACAGCTCCGGGGGGGCTGGGTGCGTGGCTGACCCAGGCATGGGAGCCCTGGGGAAAGCGGAGCAGCATTTCCTGCAGGGAGGGGTTGTGGTGGAAGCAGCAGCAGAGACGGGGGAGTCGGTCGATGGGTCTGGTCCGTGGGCTTGGCACGCCCCATATAGGGGCCTGGAGTCACCGAGGGGTTTGCCCTCACGTTACACCACTTCCTTTCATGGCTCTTAGGCCACGACAACGACTCCTCCGCTGGGAAGACAGGGCAGGGGGCTACAAGGCAGCGGCTAAAGTCTGCCGCGCTCCCCCGCTGCCCTGCTCCGGCACCGAGGGGCAGGCCCAATCTGCCGGCGGCCCCTCGCAGCGCCGCGGGTTCCGTGGCCGCTTCTGAGGAGAAGGGCGCGGGGGCTGCCTGGGGTTCCAAGCGCCAGTATTTCACCTGCTGGCTTGTTCCCTCCGCAGGAGCCGCCGAGCCCCCCACCCCCCACTACAACAACTCCATCCTCTGCGACACGGTGCTGGAGTCCAGCCTGCTCTTCCTGGCTGGCGCTGGCGCCGATTTCCCAGGCATGCAGGCCGGCGTCGCCCTCCTCAAAGTCTGGCTGCACCAGCGGGCGCTCGACAAGGTAGCCTGGCCGGCGGGGAGGTGGGCTCTGACGCTCGCCAAGGGTGGGGCCTGGCTCCTTCCATTCCTACCCGAGGGATGGGGAGGAGGGGGGGCGTTGTCCCTGGCCTGCTCGGCCTTCGTGGGCGCGGTACTCCAATAGCTCCCCCTTCCCCCCAGGCCAGGTCCCTGCTCCGTAGATGGGGTAAAGGATGCACAGGGTCCTCCCCCCCCCCCCCCCCCCGTTGTGGCTGAGGTATCTGGCCCTGCCTGGTCCCTCAGAATCCCATGATGCTTGATTCACACCAGTCCAAGTGGCTGGTTGCGCCCCTCACCAGGCGTCGCCCCGGGGCAGGCTGGGGGAATTGCGGCCCGGTGGGAGCAGGCAGCAAGGGGCCCTGGTGTCGGTGTCAGAGCCCGGCCCTGCTGCGCTCCCTTGGTGACTGTGCTAGCTCCCCGGGGGAGGGACTCGGGAACCCCGGGAGAGGAAAGGCGCTCGGATCCCCAGCACAGGCCCAGAGGCCAGGCGGCTGACGCTGGCAGTGTTGCTCAGCGGAGCCTGGCGCTGCAGCGAGCCAGTCTGCGTTCCCGGGCTCTCGGGAGCTTGCCTCAGCCCTGCGTCTTGTCTCCACAGGGCTTGGGGGCGCTCGGCGGCTTCCTGGCCTCCATGCTGGCGGCCTACCTGCTGGCCAAGCGCAAGATCAGCCAGGGGATGAGCGGCTACCAGGTGCTGAGGAGCGTGCTGCAGTTCCTGGGTGAGGTCCCCGGAAGGCAGCGCCGTCGGCATGGGTCAGAGCCCCGCCGAGAGCCCCAAGGTGCAAGGCTGGTGCCGAAACCTTGGTGCACTGCCCAGCCCTATGGGGGCGTGGTGGGGCCTGGGGGACAGACATGCCTCGGTCCCTGTAGGAACAACTGCCCCATGGTAGAAGGGTCAGAGCCCTGAGCGTGACAAACCAGATCCTCTGTGGCTGCCCACCTGGGGTGCGGCCGGGGGAGGCTCTGTCTCTTGACGCCTAGCAAGAGCAGGAAACCGCAACAGCCTTGTTTGTCTGATACTCTGGGAACTTATGGCCAGATGCACCCACGTGCGGCCCGGAGCCTGCCCCCCAGGGCGAAACGGCTGTACTGGGAGAGAGCAGCGTGTGTTACAGCCCAGTCCCGGGGTGCGGTACGACTGACTCACCCTCGCACGGAGCACTGACCCCTTCTTTGTGTGCAGCTACCACAGACCTGAGTGCAACGGGGATCAGCCTGGCGAAGGATGCAGGCAGCTCCCTGGTAAGGAACCAGCGCAGCTCCCGGCAGCATGAGAGCCTGGGGGGTTGAGTCAGTGTCAGACTGGACGAGTCTCTTAACCTCTGTGCCTCGGTCTTCTCTATCCAGTGATGCAGATGCCCCCAGCACTGGGGGGAGAGGGGGTGTCACGGCCTGCCCGGCACAGGGGCTGGGCTCTGCGTTGGGGTGTGGCTGGTACGGGGTTTGGGGCAGGGCCGAGACTCAGTGTCTCTCTGCGGGGGAGCTGTCCTGGGGGCTAAGCCGCGTTCTCTCTCTTCCAGCCCAGCCTGGATGACTTCCACCAGGCGTTCGACGTGGTCTTCGTGGACCCCTCGGGACTGGTGAACCTCTGTGCCGACATGACCGCGAGCAAGTACAAGCAGGTACCGGCTGCATTGCTCCACGGCGCCCCGCATCCGCCCCTCTGCCGGCTGGTCTTGCCAAGTGGCTTGGTCCCGCCAGTTTCCCCTTCCCGTGGGCCCCCCTTTTTCCCGAGTGCGCGCTTTCAGCCGGGCTGTACTAGACAAGGCGGAGGTGGAACGATGCAGCTAGTGTATTGACCACGTGTGCCGTGTGCTGCCTGGGAAGCTAAGCAGGGTCAGGCCCTGTCTATGCTGGGATGGGAGACCTCTGAGGAATGTGATTCTCTAGGCGGGGCTCTTCCTCTCAAGTGAGAGCGGAGCCGGTGTCCCCGCAGGGTTCTCGTGGTAGCCGTGCTGCTTAACGTGCTGTTTTTAGATGCAACCTAGACCCAGGCGCTCTGCCTGCTTGTGCTCACTGGAGATCTTGGGCACTTTGCATGCACAGGAGCTGAGATTTGAGTATGAACATCCCCTGCCTTATCCCTCTGGGGATGCCGTTTCTCTCATAAACCCTCGTCTTCTGTCCTAGTCCATGCTGGTTTTTATGTCCCGCTGTTCACGGTAGCATCCGAGAGCCTTCCAGTGGTGCACGAAGCAGCGCGACTAGCATCTTGTGTGTGGGTTGGTCTCCTGGCCTCTCCCCAGAGGGAGGAAGAGTGGAGTGTTGTGTTTTGGTAGGGGAGTGGGTGGCGGTAAACGTGTCTCTTGCTGTGTGCACTGAGCCATGTGGCTGATGAGGCTGAGAGTTAATGAATTAGGCTCTGCCCTGCTGTCCTTTGACGCCCAAGCCCACCTCTTCAAGGAACAGCAAAGCAACCAGAGAAGCTAGTAGACAGGAGCTTTGCGCGAGAGCTCTTCAGGTGAAGGAAGAATGACTGTGACCCTGGGGTAGTTTGTCGGGTTCTCGCTTGCCGTGTGCGTGCTCGATTTAAAAACGGTAGTGTGGGCTGTTCTCGGAGTCTAGCAGCCTGTGAAAATCTGATAGACGTGCAGCAGTAGATCTAGTGTGTTGCAAAATAGATATCTTAGCATTGGAAAAAGTTGCCCTTTTCTGAACCAAGACGTGTGGGGAGACACGTGGGGAGAGACTGAAAAGACTGGGACTTTTCAGTTTAGAATAGAAGAGACTTAAGGAGGGATATGATACAGGTCTATAAAATCATGACAGATGTGGAGAAAGTGAATAAGGAAAAGTTGTTTACTTGTTCCCATAATATAAGAACTAGGGGTCACCACATGAAATTAAAACAAACATGAGGAAGTTTTTCTTTACGCAGCGAACAGTCAACCTGTGGAACTCCTTGCCAGAGGATGTTATGAGGACTAGGACTTTAACAGGGTTCAAAAAAGAGCTAGATACATTCATGGAGGGATGGGTCCATCAATGGCTATTAGCCAAGATGGACAGGAATGGTGACTCTATCCTCTGTTGGCCAGAAGTTGGGAAGCAGTGATGGGGTGGAACACTTCATAATTATCTGTTCTGTTCACTTCCTCTCGGGCACCTGGCATTGGACCCTGTTGGAAGACAGATGTTTGGTCTCACCCAGTATGGCTGTTCGTATGCACTGAATGTGGCATGTACAGTTATTTGTCTGCACGTGCAGTAGGGATGTTAAATAGTTAACCAGTAATCATGAGGCTAACTGGTTAACCGGCCCTTGCCAGTGAACTGTGGCAGCTCTCAGCAAGCTGTAATTGAAAACAGTTAATCAGTGAAGTGCTCGTGTTTAATAGTCACTTCCCACCCCCCCTTGCTGCCTCTATCAGAGGTAGAAAGCGGGGGAGGAGCGGGAGCCAGCTTAAAAGCCAGTTCTCTCTCCCCCCCTCCCCCCCCCGCACAACGCCATCTCCATGGGGGGCAGGGGAATAGCAGGGACCACCCAATGAAATGAATAGGCAGCAGGTTTAAAACAATCGTCGTTCCCCCACACAAGGCTCAGTCAGTCCGTGGAACTGGTTGCCGGGGATGTTGTGACGACCAAAAGCAGAACTAGATTAAAACCAGAATTATTCCGGTTCGTGGAGGATAGGTCCGCCAGTGGCCATTCGTCAAGGTGTCAGGGATTCAGCCCACTGCTCCTCGGATCCCAGCTGCCAGAGGGTGGGACAGGACGACGGGACGGATCACTCGAAATAGCCCTGCTTTGTGGTTTCTGGCCTTGGCCGCAGTTGGACGACTGGATCGTGGGCTAGACTGAGCAGTGGTCTGTCCCAGTGTGGCCGTTCCTACTGTCATGTAGATGAAAGAGCAGCTCCTGTCACTTGAGTGGAAAATGGCGAGGCATAGGGAGTCCTTCGCTCCCGGGGAAGTTGGTCGTATGGTCTCGGACGGTTCCATCTCCTGCATGGATGAGCTTCCCCTTCCCTATGAGATCTCGTTTGTGCCCAGGAGCGTACTGTCAGCCCCCGTCTTTCTCCTGGAGCTGTGAAGGCCTGGACCTAAAAGACCTGTGGAGCACCGTGGGGACAGACCGAAATGAGCCGTTCTAGGGGAAGCCAGTGTAGGGAGCCCAGGGCGGGTGTGATGGGCCCCAGAACCTGTGTTGCTGAGTTGACACCTGGCTGCATTTTATACTAATTGGCAGGGCTCTCCGAGCGGCAGCGAGCCCCACTCGCCAGCCGCGCGGTTCTGTGCTCTGCACATGTGCAGATTGCTCTGTGCCGGCTCTTCCGGGGTGTAATCTACTCGCCCCGGGTGAGTAGATTACGTTGTTTGTCGAGCCCTGCTAATTGGAATCCCCTAAATGCTTAAGGGTTCGTGCCCAGGCATGCTGCATTGCTCACTTCAGAGGTGCTGCACAGAGCTGCTGTGCTCACTTCAGAGGTGGCTGCATGTCCGTGGTAGGGGAAATCGATCCCTTTTTTGTTGGTAGTGTTGCGCAAGCTGCTTTGGGCTCCTTGGGCAAAGGGCCGTTAGTTAAAATTTGCTCTGTAAGTTTTTAAGTGCGTTGCGCTGGTGAACATCTCTAGACCAGCGTTTCCCAATTGTATTTGGCCAGGGAACCCCTAGAGTTGCTTTAAAAAACAAAGGCCCCCATCGTGTTTCCTAATCCCCCCCAAAGAAAAGCCCTGCCACCACGCTGTCTCTTTAAGAGCGGACAGGGGAGTGCCAGCTGTTTGCGGAACCCTTGCTTTCACCAATTGGGAAACACTGCTCTAGACACGCTCCTCAATGTGCAGCGTGGGATGCTGCTCCCAGGTCCGTGGGCCCGAGAGAACCAGCCACGGGGGAGAGGCATCCAAGTCCCGGTCCCCAGGCCTAGCTGCTGCTGCTGGCTCTGACCCCAGAGCCGTGTCAGATGCATTCGAGGTGGATCGGAGTGCTAAGCACGGGTCTTTTACCTTCTTCCCGGAAGCAGTATTGGCTCCAACCTGGAGCCCTCTGATTTAGGGTGTCTCCTGCCCAACAGTGAGCTCTGGGCCTGGGGAGGCTGAGAATTGGTTGGGCTTGGAGCCAGGTCTCCCCTTCCCCCTCGGTGGGGAGGGCTGTAGCTGGCCTGTAGGGGTACGTCTACACAGCAGCGCTATTTCGGAATAACATAGCCCACATCTACACTCCAAGCCGTTCTGTCGAAATAATGGCAAGCTGGAGATCTTACTCCGACTCCCGTAACCCTCATTTCAGGAGGAGCTAGGAGCAAGGGTGCGCTGCCTCGGACTTCCTGCTGTGCAGACAGCACCAAAAGCCAGAATACGCTGTTTTGACCTAAGCTACGTCATGGACGTAGCTGCCGTTGCGCCGCTTAATTCGGCTTCAGCCCTGCTGTGTAGACGAGCCCTAGATGACCAGAGCGTCTTCAGGCGCTGGAGGGTCTGCTCAGGCTGCCAGGGGACAGAACTCTTCCCCCAGCCTCTGTTCACGGCTCCCCCTTCCCACAGGTCCAGCTGGAAGCCAAGCACTCGATGGACGTTCTGGACGACAGAACGGTGGATGGATTCCAGCTACTGCTCATGACCCCCAAGCCCCTGATCAGAACCTTCGACCACGTGTTCCAGTGAGTCTGGTGGGGCAGGGATGGGTGGGGGACCGGTCAGAGAGCCGCTGTCTGGCCCAGGCTCAGTGGGGGATACTGGCAGAAGCATGGCTCGGATACGGTCCGAGTAGCTCAGTGATCACCCTCTGCTCCCGCAGCTGGGGCGAGCTGTGTGCATCCCAGCTGTTGGGTGTGGCTGGGCAAAGAGGC